AACTTCGAACGCCGGTCAGATGACGCGCTCTAAATTGGAAAAGGTAAAAAAGCACCGGAAGGTTCTCTGGTCATGTGCAAGGGACCCCGCGATGGATACAAACCAAGAATGAGACCGAAGAATGTGTTCGCTGGCACGGAGCCAAAACCCGAGAAAGACTTGATTACTCTGCCGCCAAGAAAAGATTCGTGAGCTGGTGAGAGGATAAGATTCAGGATAAGCGGCAGGGAGGACGCTGACCTCTGGCCGATGCAACTTTAAGTCTATTGCAGGGGCCGCCCACATACCTTGAGAAAAATCTGAGGAGACAGAATTCAAGGCAGGTGAAATTGGCGCATAATATTTCTTTGCATCTGGTATAATGAAGCTGGATTAAGCACAAGGCGGACGCCATCAAAAGTCCGCCCGTCTCGATTGACAGCTCCGAATAGTACCAGTCTGCCTATGGCAAAGTGCTTGCCATATTTTTGCCAGGTTTAGGCAGACTGGTTACGAATCTACGAGGTTAACGGGATCGTTATGAATGAAGAGCGCCTGACCACCTCTCTAGAGATCATGACGACATGTGAGATGTTTCGCGATCGCGGCGGACTACATGTACATCTTTCAAGTTGCGAACGTCGTAGTGGCCTAATTCCTATGTCTGGAATTATTATCCATGGTGGTATAGACGCGAAAAGCTGTGCCCGAATGTGTCCTGTTGTTTGTTCTACTTTGCTTTCACCATCATCCCCAAATCACCCCGCGCGTCTGGTTTTCTAGGGGTTTCTAGGCCTGCTTCGATATATAACCTCCGCTATGCCATTTTTTTCTAGCTCCGCCCCGCTCGAAAGGCTGAATCTCGAGTTTTTACCTCCAGTCGTCCTCATCTTCCCACCCCGGTGGTCAGAGTCTTGGGCCAAGTCTTGGCACGAATTCGCCGCCGGCTTCTTTGTATACGTTGCCGTGGTCTGTTTTAATCCCGCCGGAACTCAATCGCCATTACTTAGGCCCCCGTCGACGCGTTATCGGCGGAAATGTTGCTCTTGTGCGCCTCTAGGCTCTGGATCATCTTCCCTCGCAATCGTGCGGCGATGGTTCGATTCAATTCCCCCAGGTTCAGCTTCATATGCCCCGAATAATATGCTGCCGTCGGTTCCACCGTTATCGCCCCAAAATACTTCGCGGACCAATGATGCGTCTGCTCATGCGATTAGAGAATCTGACTGCTACCATCTTTGTCATTGATATTTTTACCAGCACTCCAAGCTTGGGGCCATACCACGGAGCTACGGAGCGCACTCTGTCTGGAAAACACCTGACGCGGCCGGGCTCATTCGCGCTCTATATACGAACAATTCATCAACTTGTTCAACGGAGGCCGGAGATTCACCGAGGGCGATTTAGCCTTCGCGACTGTGGGAGGGCTTGGCATTGACTTGGCTTCGATATTCTGGGCGGCCGATGTTGTGCCGCCTGCAGATCACTGATTCTAAATCTTGATCTTCCTCCTCCATGTTCCGATAAATGAGCGTCTCATGGGGGAGAGTGCTGCCGAGAAATATCCTTCCCTCCTCCTCCTCTGCATACTCCTCGTCTTTTCTGTGCTCACGGGTGCCGTACGATGATGCCCTTGGACAGTATAAAATGGACCCGGCAAGCGCAACTTTCTGCAGTCCTCACCACTCCGCAGTTCACCTGTTCTCAACCTCGTAGGGCCCACGGTTCAACTCCTCGGTATGACCAGTCGCGTTCAGCTCATGCCGCTCGCTCACCCACATTGTAGCAATGTTCCCGACTACATCTTTGATCTCCCTCTGTCTGGCGGCCTTTGTCGCTGGCCAGCAGGTCGGCACCCAGATGGCTGAAACCCACCCAACCCTGTCGTCGCAGAAATGCACGGCCAGCGGTTGCACGACCCAGGCGACGTCCGTCGTCCTCGACGGCAACTGGCGCTGGCTCCACGCCACCAACAGCACCACCAACTGCTACACCGGAAACACCTGGTATGGAATCGTATTACCGCAAACAACATGCGTTCTCATTTTCGCGGCAATAGGGACGCCGCTCTTTGTCCCGACCCAGCTACTTGCGCGTCGAATTGTGCCTTGGACGGCGCCGACTACGGCGGAACATACGGTATATCTAGCACCGGCAGCGCCCTGACCCTCAAATTCGTCACCGGCGCCAACATCGGCTCGCGCGTCTATCTCATGGCGAACGCGTCCAGCTACCAGATGCTCTCGCTCCTGAACCAGGAGTTCACCTTCGACGTCGACATGTCCAACTTGGGCTGCGGCCTCAACGGCGCACTTTACCTCAGCGAGATGGCCGTTGATGGTGGCCTTTCCGCCACCAACAAGGCCGGTGCCAAGTACGGAACCGGCTACTGCGACTCGCAGTGCCCGCATGACTTGAAGTTCATCAACGGCCAGGTGGGTTGTATTTTGAGTTGCCTGAACTGCCGCTCATTCTATCCCAGGCCAACATCGTCAACTGGACAGGCGCTGCCACGGATCCTAACTCGGGCTCCGGCAGCCTCGGGACCTGCTGCAACGAGATGGATATCTGGGAGGGTGAGTCTCAAATGTTCGCTTTTGGCTTTCATACTGAATCGTCGTAGCAAACAAAAACGCTGCGGCATTCACCCCGCACACCTGCACCAGCGCCGGCCTTACCGCCTGCACCGGTACTCAATGCGGCGACGGCGCTGACCGCTACAGCGGCATCTGCGACAAGGACGGATGCGATTTCAACTCGTACCGCATGGGTGACAAGACATTTTTAGGCCCCGGGATGACTGTCGACACGTCGAAACCATTCACCGTCGTCACCCAGTTCGTCGCGGCCTCGGGCACCCTCACCGAGATCCGCCGTCTCTACGTCCAGAACGGCGTTGTCTTCAACAACTCGGAAACCAACATCGCCGGCATCTCCCCCGCCGTCAACTCGATCACCGACGCGTTCTGCAACCAGCAGAAGACCGCGTTTGGCGACACCAACAGCTTCGAGTCGCACGGCGGACTCGCGGCCATGGGCGCGGCGCTCAAGCGCGGCATGGTGTTGGCGCTCAGCATCTGGGACGACCACAGCGCGGGCATGTACTGGCTCGACAGCACCTACCCCACCAATGCCAGCGCCAGCTCGCCCGGTGTCGCCCGCGGACCCTGCTCTATCACCTCCGGCGACCCCAAGACCGTCGAGGGCAGCGAGGCCAGCAACTCGGTCACCTTCTCCAACATCAAGTGGGGCGACATCGGCTCGACGTTCAGCAGCACCGGCACCGGCAGCGGCACGACGACCGCCAGCTCGCCCCCCACGGGCCCGACGCAGCCCTCTGGCGGAAGCCTCCCTTCCTGGTCCCAGTGCGGTGGAACTGGCTGGACCGGCAGTGGCAGTTGTGTCTCGGGTAACACTTGCACCGTCCTCAACCCCTGTGAGTTTTAACCTCTGCATACATCACATTGACGCTCATGACATTCCAGTCTACTCGCAATGTATCCCGGCTTGAAACGTGTAGAATAATCCTGTCTACTAAAATTCCCTCGCCCTCCTTTCTTCTATTATACATGTAACGTGCCGTGAATGAATCCAAAGATATTCGCCCTCTTCAGTCTGATTTCGTCTCATATACGGAGCTTACACGAAATCAAGACACGATTTGCACTGCACCCAACCACATCGATCCTTGCATTAATCAGAATGCTCCACTCATGCATTTCAAACTCCCACCGACTACTTTAGAGACTTGGACGTATTATGGACGTATGATAGGTGCGACGTTCCTACGACAAATAGCTGCGAAGATTAAACGAGCAGCCTCGATTGATTCAGAAGCAAGACAAACCTATGAGTCTGATCGGATTTTTCGATAACGTTGAACTTGATGCGCCCTCATAAGGTAAGCTCGGGGTCCAGAATAGTGATCTGGCACCTAGTCCCCCCAATTAAAGAGAACTTCAGTGATTTAAATTGAAGTTCCTCCCCTGGTTAGGGAAGCCCCTTGGAACTTGGTGCAGTGGGCGCGCTTCTAGCTTCCCAATATCACCCCTACCCTGCCTTACTTTCGGGGGCTTGGCGCAGTGGCTAGCTAGCCTAGCGTGTTTTCTCTGACCGTCAACCTCATCTCTCGATCAGGCTTCCATTGACACAAAGTACTTGAACGCAAAACAACACCGTTCAAAATTCACATCTTAAGCCTCATAGCGGCTGAGCCGACTAAGCGTTCAGTAAGCTCAACGAGCGAGAGACTTCACTGCAGTCACCGCTCATGGTTGATAAAACTATTGGGGCTACAGTGACGGCGGATGCGAGCGTTGCTTTGTGTCCAGCCGCCTAACTAGGAGCAAGCTAATAGTCGAGACAGGACCCCAATCAGAAATATACAACGCAGGCAAGGGCGAGTTTGCGCGTGCTGGGTTATGATTTTGTCAAAGTCCGTAGCCCCTTTCGACTTGCGTACCGTTGCGTCGCTGCGCGAGACACAGTTGGTCTTGCCTGCCATTTTGTCGCTGCACGAGAAATAATTGGTCTCGATTGCCGTTCCGTCGCTCCGCGAGAAATACTTGGTGGGGATTGTACGTTGCTGGTCGTAACGGTGAATATGGCAAGTAGAATTCCTTTTTCGGAGGCTTTTGATCGCAAGTTCGATCTCTTGATGGATTATTGATCGACAGAGTTCAACTCCCAATCAACCCTCAAAGACAAGTTCGCGGGCTCAGCGGGTTCTCACAGGCTCGGGGGGTGGATGTAATGCGCCTGGGACATATTGCAAAGGCCCGGGAAACTTGAAAAATTCCATGCAACAGGGAAACCCAGATATACACATTATCGTCCAAATACGCAAGTTCCGGTCCGTAAATTCATTTATCCCCTCGGGTTTCGAACTCATGACCTTTTCATAACATCCGAAGTTCCCAACATGTAAAACTACAACGGATAAAGCGGTTCGGACGCCCCTTTCAACTTTGTGTCCTCTCAGTCCTCTTATACTAGACCACAAGCTTCCAGACCTTTCCATCGGGTGCTTGGCGCAATGGCTAGCGTGTTTGGCTTCGATGCCTTATGTGATCCGCTTACGTAATTACACGTACCAAAAGGTTGCAGGTTCGAGTCCTGCAGTGCTCAGATTTTTGGCGCCATTTTTTTTTTGATGTACCACCTCGAAAGCGGCGTCTACTACCAGCAGAGGACCAGTGCCTGTATGGGAAACTTTTTTCTGAATAACCTTTTTAAAAGTCCTTGTTGAACGGCGATGTTCTGTGTCAACCAAGAGCAGGACAATCATTATGGTTGAATTTCCTCAAAGTTGGGCACTGGAGCCAGGAGGGGTGAATGAGCCAGTCGGATCGTTGGTCCTGAATGCACAGAATAATTGGCAAGTGGCCGAAAATCCGATGGGATTGATCGTCGGTTTTCCCGCAAACTACCAGTGAGGAACGGAGGCGGAGATTTTGTGGAATCCACAGTTCACCGTAAAATGTTTCAAATCTGCTTACACCTAAATTTAATTGCTGCTTCTGTTCCACTAGTCTTGTTTCCACACATTATAGGGGCAGTGAATCCCCAACGCTCGCTGCGCTTGCGGGAGAATCTATCCGGAGATATCGGAACTTCGGAAGATGATCCGAGGCAGTTTTGATGGCGATTCACTGCCCTGGTGCAGTTTGACCGTAAAATTCCGAGGTAATGGCCCTGCCGGGCGGTGCCTGGATACCCAATGTTCCGAGCATCCAATGCTTGGCCTCACGAGGACGATTCCGACTCAAGGACAACCACACTTCATACAAGCTCTAGAATGATTGCCTTGACCAGCGACCTTCCAGGTATCCGCGTCATAAATGCTATTCTACCCTCCCCTTTGTCTATATCCAACAATCTTGGTTCAAAGACATGCTCGGACGAATACGACACCAACCCACTGTTCCCATGCGATAAATACATCACCAATCCACCATGTCCCCTGGCCGCTCACACATCAGACTTTTGACATTCAGCTTGTGAGCTTGTACAAGGTCAAACAAGGTCAGACAAGGTCCCAAGCCCCACCAAAATGCACCCAAGCTCACAAGCTATGTCTTGATTATCACAAGGTCACTCGTTCGACCCCGTGTAGTGGTATAAATTTGGAATGAATTGTTCCAATCACCATGACCAGGTATGGTATGGCCGTAAGAATTTGTAAGAAGCATCCTCCGATATTTCACAAGGTTTTCCCACTCTATGCTGAAAATTTCGAGAGGTTTTTTCTTCTGATTTGACCTCGTTTGACCTTGCGAGCTTCTCACAAGGTCACAAGGCCAAACAAGCTCCCAGCTGATTGTTAAATGGCTGATGCATCCACATTAATAATACAGCAAAACACTGCATATATGTCCCTTCAGTCGACACAGACGACCGACCTGGGCACTACATTCATATATCCCTCACTCCACGCACAACACATATGCTGGCATCGCCCCCAACATCTGGTAAATCCCAGATGCCGACGGTGAAGTCAAGTCCACTACAAACACGCAACGACCGAACTAATAAAGACATGGACAGCAAGAACGAACAGAATCCCATGTGTGAGACCCCGGGGGATCTCTTTTGAGACGTTCATCGTTCAGGAGATAGCAGGCAGGACACTAGACCTCTACTTTTGTTGCTCTCCCGTCTCCCTAAACTGTATTCATGTACGATAAAATCATTGGTGTTGCATGAACCGGCCATATTCTGTCCCTCATCGGTCGACGGCCGAAAACGAACTCCTGATTGTAAATATTCGGGTGAAAACAGCCAACATGGGTAAGAACGGAGAAGAGACAGTGCACATTTTCGAGGCAGTGCAGTGGCTGTGTCTCTTTTTTCACCGCGAGTGAGACTACTTTCCATATAAGGCTAATTTTACTTGTTAAGGCAGTAGTGTGGGTACTGTAGAACCCAGATACTAAAGTATCCAGGCACTTGTGCTTGTGTCACATGGTGAGTCTCCACCCACAAAATAATGGCTTCTCCTCCACATTTGCTCGGTTGGATCCAGAACTTTGTGTCAGCATTCCTGTTATCTCCTCTGAATTGTCTCCGCAATTTTCTTACAGTGCCCCGCATCACATCACGGTTCCGCTTTTGGCAGTAAACAAGTCTAACCTTTGGAACCCAAATAACATTATGCCTTTTTCATGGGTCCGCTTGAAAACACTGGGAAACATCCAAAGGAAGCCTAAAGAACATGGCTTGTGCTTGGTTAGTTGATCCAAAAAGATTTCAACTTTTTGACCACCGAAAAGTGAAACAAACACTAATGATGCCATCATATTCCCATACCGGGTGATGTTTACATAAGCTCACACCTAATTCTGTAGCCCATCTGTACATACCAGGGACACCTCCATGGATAAGGGAATCACATTTGAATCATTACTAGATATGCCAGATAATTCAACAACCCTCAGCAAGCCATCTGGAGACCATTAGATTTTTTTGGACCTCGAAAAAAGTGAAACACCATGGGAAAGAAATGAGATCTTGTGTCAATCACATTATTTTTGCCATGTTTGTGGGCCAGAAAATCAGAAATAAATCACAAAAAAAATCTTCAGTGCCGAGAAGTGCTCAGGCACTGTAGTCGTATTGCTGATGTAATACATTTTCCACATCTAGCCTAAATTTTCAGAGTATGGGCTCAAACATTTACCCCACACTGAGACTAAGCTCCAAAATATTCCTAGTAATTTTTATTCACATCCCTGGGCGCATTTGGCTGCCCCGAGGGTACGTTTCCACATCCATGTACCCCTGTTTTCTCAATTTATGGGCCTGGTACTATATGCCGCCACCTAGCTGGGCAGACGGGGAAGCTGGGCATTTAGCTTATAGCCCGGAATCAAATTGTCATATCCCAAATTTTATCCTCGGAACATGTAAAGGGACCTCAAATGTCGGATTGTACCAAGTTTCGGGAAATTCCGGCCAAGTTATCGAAAGTTAGCCGCCGTTGATGGACGGTCCGGACACCGATCTCGTGATTTCCTTGATACGCGAAACAAGAATGCCCAAAAACTTGATCAGTTTTGCTCCGATTCACAACATCGAGTACTCATTCCCCTCTTACGATGCCTGGCTTTCTGTTGATGTGGTCGCCTCAGCTGCGCCGCCACCCTTACCCACGCTATTCGGCCGACAACCTGCGTCGCCAACGCGAAATCAACCGCTGATGAGAGCTACCCACCGGGCCATTGCGCAACGCTACCGCCCCGCGGTATTTGGGGGAGATATAGGGAGCATAATAACTCAATTTGACGGCCATAGGGATATTTTATTAAATTTTCCTGCCTTGCGCTGTCATCGCTTACAGCAAAATGTCGATTTTCATGATGCCAACGACACAAATGTCGGGTTCTCAACAATGGTACTCAGAAGTGGTCCAACTGACTCAAATGCATTTAAATCCTTCCTCCGCAACTTCCTGGAACTCATTTTATCCAGCCCTATCCTCTGGCTGCCATGCGACACCTGTTTAATCAGCCATACGCCGAAACTGTGTGTAGGGCTCCTAACCCTCACCTTGTTCTACCACTTTCATGCATCCCATGTGGCATTTAAAGGTCTTGAATAGGGCATTGGGTCCCTCAGATATTCTTAGATATTGGGGCCCCAGATATATGGCCTGTAACCATGCATTTAAACGACTGCCCAGGTACCCCGTCAATTGCCTTTTTTGGAGTAGCCGCGAAAATAAATTCACCAAGCAGTCAATGCCTGACGGAAATTCGTAAAAATAATATCGACCTGTTCCCAGGATGCCTGCCTTTCATTTAGAGGCCTCGGACCCCCAGAAGGCGCTAAGTAAAAGCCATCAAGGAATGAAAAGCATTAAGGTGCCCAGCTTCCCGGCGGTATATAGTAATGATCAGCATCCCCCGAAAAAATATTCATCTCCTGGATATAATTGGCCTTCAGTTACATGTTTGTCGAGACCACTTCAACCAGCTTTATTACTTTCGTACTATCAACGATGGCGTGGAAAAGCGTGACCTAGTGGTACTCCAGCGTGTTTCTGCCACTCCTAAGCACGTTAAATTAGTTTTGAGTGCCTTCTATGACTTCTGGCTGCTTCATATGAATTTATTCATCCCCCAGAATACCTCAATGCTAGAGATTTCTGTCGAGGATGGATGTGACATATGTGACATGAAACCGCTTTACAGTCAAACTGCACCAGATCTTTACGGGGTGATGGCTGCTGGTGGATTTTTTGATTGATGTGCCCCAAATTTCAGACTCCGCAGCCGAGCCCCGTAAAGATCTGGAACCGAGATTACTGTCCCACATTCAAGGAGACCGAACCCGGTACACTGGCCGGTAGATTCAACCACCACCCCTGACGACCCGAACTGTATTTCTACAATCTAAACAGCAGGTTTAGAATCACAACTAGTGTCCAACCCATACCGTATACGATCCCTCAACATCGGACTTCCAGCTGCTCATGAAGTTGTCCTTTCTGAGGAGAACTGCTGGATCAATGTATCATCGCGCCGTTTGACGTTGACATTCATATGGCCGCGGACCCTCAACAGCCGCACGGTGGACTTGGGTTCAAAGTCCTTGCTGATGACGAGGCGATAAATCCGCTTCTCGTGGAGTGATTGGACAGCACCGAAACAACGAGTGTTTCTGAGCGGAGCGATTAACCGGCACCGGCAACAACAAGTATTTCTGAGCGGAGCGATCCATCGCCACTCCGAAACCAAGTGTTTCTGAGTGGAGCGATTAACCGGCACCGGCAACAACAGGTATTTCTGAGCAGAGCGATCCGCTGCCACTCCGAAACCAAGTGTTTCTCGCGAAGCGACTGGACAGCACCCAGCAACAAGTATTTTTGAGCGGAGCGATCCGCTGCCACTCTGCAAAACTGAATATTGTAAAATTGCACTAAGTCGAAAGGGGTCAAAAAGCGCAAAGATTGCATCAAGTCAAAAGGGGCTTAGTACACAGACTTGAAAAAAATTGGCGATGACTTTGAACAATTTTTGCAAAGTCGCGTTCAAGCACAGCTCATTACACATTCTACAAGAGACACGACGCGCTAAGTACTCGGCAATATACATGGGCGGGCCCTGCGAATCATCTCCGCAGCTCAC